TTTTTTTTTTTTAATGTATGGTTTTGAGAAGTACTTGAGAGTTAAGCCTACCACATGCCACAGTCAAGGAAAGATCTATTGATAAAATAAACCTGCAGCAGAGAACTTCAGGCAAGTTACTAAACTGATCAGCTTAATCTTTCTTTCATGAATACAGATGGACAACCAAGAATCAATAAATCTGAGGAAAAACAAAAAATGAAGGGGAAAAAAAAAACACAAAACATAAAAGTAATCTGAGAGAGAGCTCAGCTGTAAGCCCAAAGGGTGAAGCTACAAATCACAAAGTTATTCCCAGGCCTTGACATCTACTGGAGTTTCTCCAACTGATTTTTAAAATTGCTTAGAACTTATAGCTCCTTTTTTTCCTGTCTTCTCCCTTTTTGAACCAGAATGTCTGTAACTGTCCCAGAATTGTACTTTGGGGAGAATTAAATTGTTTCATAGGTCCACAGATTTTTAGATAAGACTTTGAACTACAATAGGGTATATATAAAAGAAGTTTAGGGATCTTGGGATAGGATGAATAGATGTTGTGAGATAGATAAGGATCACAGAGGCCAGAAGAGGGATTGTGCTGCACAGGGTTTTAGGCCCCCAAGTTTTTGCCCCATTTTTACACTTGTGTATTTTGCATTTCATGGCAAAAGGGTAACAGACTTCAAAATAAGGAAATTCTTGTAGGCCCAGTATAATCACACTGACCTTTAAGAAAGAAAGAGGAAAGCAAAACAAAACAATCAGTTAAAAAGAAGCAGCAGAAGAGGCAGAAGAAATCTGAAGCTTGGGAGGAACTCCACCCTCCACTATTGATTCTCAAATGAAGGAGCCATAAGCCAAAGAAACAAGGTCAACAAAGAAGTTAAGTAGGACCCCAATCTCTGAGCCAACAGCCAACAAAAGGGACATCAGTTCTTTGATCAAACACAAATTAACTCTGCCAACAATCTGAATGATCAAGAAACTGATTCTCCCCCTACAGCCTCCTGAATACAACCAGCCTCAGGAAGACACTTTAATTTAGGCCCTATGAGACTTCAATGAGACCCAACTTAACCCACTGAACTTCTGCCTATAGAAGTATGAAATTATCAAGGATTTTGTTTTAAGCTACTAAATTTATGGTAGTTTGTCAGAGCATATTAAAAACAACAACATGTGAACTGTTACACCAAGTTTGTAGTGACTAAACTTGCCCAAGATCACATAGTAAGTAACTGATGATGCTGGGATTCAAACCCATGAAGTATGGCTTGTGCTCTTGATCACTGATGACAAAATGAGCAAAAAAAAAGAACAAAGACAGATGAGACTCTAAAGATCTGAACACTTTCACTGGCAGAGCTAAGATATGAGCCATTATATTCCTCCTATATAACTTCAACTTTGATTCAGGACTAAATTAGATTTATGTATTACAGAGAATAATATTACCAATTAATTACCAAAAATAATTTTTAATCAAATATAGTCTAAACTACAGTTAATTATGTAACTAAGTATAAAGTAAGCTTTTGGCATCACAAGAATAACACTGCTGGGTAAACAAAAACTAATAAAAAGTGAAATGACAGACATACTAATTCTCTTAATCTTTCAAAACAGTAAGATGATACAGTTAAAAGTTGGTAAAATTGGGCTGGAGATGTGGCTCAAGTGGTAGCGCGCTCGCCTGGCATGCGTGCGGCCCGGGTTCGATCCTCAGCACCACATACAAACAAAGATGTTGTGTCAGCCGATAACTGAAAAAAATAAATATTAAAAAATTCTCTCTCTCTCTATTTAAAAAAAAAAAAAAGTTGGTAAAATTAAGATACAAAGACATAACTGAGAATATGATGCAAACACATGAAGATGGGACATTATGAAGTTTTGCAGAAGGGTGCATTTCTATCCTGTGAAAATTGTAATATATTTAAAAACAAAACAACAACAACAAAAAAAACACTTGCCAGAAAGGTGGTACTGGTGCTCCCATGTAATCCTAACAACTGCAAAGAATAAGGCAAGATAATGGAAAATTCAAGGCCAGCCTCAGCAACTTAGCAAGATCCTATTGCAAAAGGGGGGGGGGGGGCGGTGCAGGGAGAAGGAATACAGAAGCTTGATGGTTGAGTGCCCCAGGGCTCAGTTCCTCAGTCTGTAAAGAAAGAAAGAAAAATCTCAATGCATTTCAGTTGAGGTTCTCTAGGAAGCAAAACCAAGATGGAGTTACAAATGTGAAAAATTTATCATGATAAATGCCTATGGGAAAATGAATGAAGAAACAGCAAGAGGAGTGAGTAGAGAAAGACTTCAAGATACGATACAGGCCTGTCAATTGTGAAAGGAAAGAATAAAGAAGAGATCAGAACACCCCCAAACCACTACAGCTCTGGTCTACCTGCCCAACACAGAGCTCAAATACAAAGAATGTTCTTAGAGAAATCTCACCTTGAGCAGAAAAGGCAGATGCTAGCACCTTGCTGGGCTCAGTTACTTGGGGAGAAATACCCAGGGAGAATGTGACTATGGATCAATGATGCAGCAAATCTCAAAGGCTCTATTACTGGAAGCTGTCAACTAACATTCCTCAAAGCAAAATTCTTAAAAGGAGATCTAAGCAGAACCCCTCCAGGGCTCTCACAGATGTCATATAATGGAATACTCTGCAGCCATTAAAAAATGTTAGGAAAATTTTTCCAACTATGCTGTTATTTTCCCCTGAGACAGAGTGTCACTTCTCACCATGCTACCCAGGTTAGCCTGGAACTTGTGAAGCTCCTTCCTCAGCTTCCGAAGTAGCTAGGATTACAGGTATGTGCCACTGTGCCCAGCTTAATGCTTCTTCTAGGAAGTTCTAGAGTTCTTCGATTATACCTCCAAGACAATCCAGACAAGTGAAAAAAAGCCAAACACAGATTTTGTATTTCCATCCCATCCTCAACGATCACAGTACCAGTTGTTATTTATTCTACTTCCATAAAAATCTGTTTAAACAAAGGACCATAATGCTATAAAATAATTGAAAATCATCTGTGTCACAAAAAAAGAATTTTTGATTGAAAAGGAAGCAAAATAAATTTAACTTCCCTGTTTGTGTATTAGCCTGAGACTACAACACACACATACACACACACAGTACACACCCCAAACAAATTTTTTTTTAATAAAATAAAAATGTTAATGGTGTTTACCTATTGGGTCATGAGCTTTTTTTTTTTTTCCCATTACTTGTATTTTCCATGCTGTTTACAACTGACATAACAAGACTTTGGTAATAATAAAAAATAAATAATCTGAAAGTTTTATGGTTGATAGAGAAAGGCCTGAACTGACAAACTGACTGTTCTCTTCAGAGCTGTTACTATGAAAATAATTCGGCCTCTAATTAGCTAGGGGCAAAAGAACACATTTACAAATTACTACTTTCACTTCAAAGAGTAGTCTGCCTATTAAGGTATAATACATGCATTTAATTACCCATTTAACAACTTTAATACTTAAAAGACACTCAACAAAATTATGGCACTTAATAGTAGCACACAAATAATTAAAATATATCACGCACTTTTCAGAAAGATTTCAATGACTTCAATATACAAATGCCAGTAATCCACAGTCAAATTATTTCCTAATCATTTTTATTTTATAGAATCATTCAGTATTTAACAGCAGTATCTGTGTAAAACACACATAACTGCCCAAACTCGCTTGGTTTTCCCATCAGAAAGCTTTTAGTATTCTTGTTTAATAAATGCTGCATTTGATATATGAAGCCAAGATCATCAAGTTGAAAAGGTGGCAATGCCAGGGGAAAACACTGATTCATAATTAAGTGATATTTTAAACTAGGCTGGTAAGCCTCCTGCAAATTCTTGAATTCTAACAGGACCCTGACTTCCTCCCACTCCCCCAAGATGCTGCTGGGGATTCAGGGCTTTGCACATGCTGGGGAAACACTCTATGTATCCTTAATCCTCATAATATCCTTAACTTATCAGAATGAAAGTATAAACCTTTAAAGAAAAAAAGAGCTGAAAAACTTATTTTTGCATTTGTATTTTCTTTCCAGTTAACTTGAACTTTCAATAATAATCATGTATATAAGTATATGCTGGGAAAAATGTAATTGATAATGCCAGCAATTTCAATATTGGTTGGATTTTCCAGATATAGGGGAGTACTTTGTTTATCTGTTTTTGTCTTATATATATACAGACTATTCCAGAAGTAATTACAAGGAGACTTGGAATACAGACATGTGACACTGGAATTTTGACAGGGACTTCCATTCCATCGACTACTTCATTTACAGTTTTGTTTTATTTATCCTATTTTCATAAAATCCATTTGGACAAAGGGCTGCAATTCTAATAAAGTTGAAAAAGTTTCTGTTTCACAAAAAAGAACTTTTGATTAAAAAGGTAACAAAGCACGTTTAACTTTCCTGTTTCTAAGAGTAACACACACACACACACACACAATGAAAGTTCATTTGACATTTACAGTAAGTCTTCCAACCCAAACACAGGATATCTTTCCATTTGTCTGTCTGTCTTCTTCAATTTCTTTCATTAGTGTTTTGTAGTTTCCCTTGATTTTGTAGTTCTCTTGATTTCTTTCTAGGAAAGTTCAGTGTTAATGTAGAAAAACTCTACTACTTTTTGCACATCGATTTTTGTTATCCTGCCACTTCAATTACTTTATCAATTTGAACAGTTTTTTGGTTGACTCTTTGGGTTTTCTACATATAAAATCATACTGTCAAGAAACAGTGACAGTTCCACTTCTTCTTTTTCTATCTGGATGCCTTTTATTGTGTTCTCTTGCCTTCTGTTTTGGCAAGGGATATCAGTAGAATGTTGAAAAAAATAATCATAAGCGGAAGCATCCATCCTTATCTTGTTGGGATCTCACAGGAAAGTGTTCCAATATTTCACCACTGAATATAATCTTATTGACATGGGTACCCTGCTACAAGGTGCACAGCCGGACTACCAAGAAGTGGCACCTAAGCAATGGAGCAGGGCAGTGTCTGCCCCAAGCAGCAAGAACTGTCCCTAGGAGCCCAGCCACGTGGCCTGGTGGCACCAAGGCACGAAAAGACAGCATTGAGGCAAGCCAAGCAGCAGCACAACCAGTTCCATTCGATGATCTCAACCTCCCACTTCCAGAACCTATGAGAATATGAAATGGGGCAGACCTGAATGGAGGTTAGGACTCAAAAACTGACCAATAGGATTGCTTTACCTATACCAGGTCTCTTTATTTTCCAGATGAATTTCATGACTGCTTTTTCTATTTCTATGAGTAATGTCATAGGGATTTTGATTGGAATTGCATTAACTCTGTATAATACTTTTAATACTATGGTCATTTTGACAATAATAATTCTACCTATTCAAGAACAAGAGAGATTTTCCATCTTCTAAGGAAGGTCTTCTTTAATTTCTTTCTTTAGCATTCTGTAGTTTTCATTGTATAGGTCTTTGACCTCTTCTGTTAGGTTGATTCCCAAGTTTGTGGGGTTTTGGGGGTTTTTGTTTGTTTGTTTGTTGAGGCTAATTGTAAATGGAGTAGCTTTCAGAGGATTTGTCACTGATATACAGAAAAGCCTTTGATTTAAGGGTGTATCCTGTTACTTGCTGAATTCTTTTACTAGTTCTAGAAGTTTTCTGGTGGAATTTTTTGGGTCTTCTATCGTTGGCAAATAGTGCTAATTTGAGTTCTTCTTTTCCTATCCGTATCCCTTTCATTTCTTTCGTCTAACTGCTCTGACCACTGTTTCAAGAACTTAGACCTTAAGATATACTACAAAGCAATAGTAACAAAAAAAACAGCATGGTATTGGCATCAAAATAGACTGGTAGACCAATGGTACAGAATAGACGACTCAGAGACTAACCACATAATTATAGTTATCTTATATTAGACCAAGGCGCCAAAAACATACATTGGAGAAAAGATAGCCTCTTCAACAAATGGTGCTGGGAAAACTGGAAATCCATATGCAACAAAACGAAATTAAACCCCCATCTCTCACTATCCACAAAACTCAAAGTGGATGAAGGACCTAGGAATTAAACCAGAGACCCCGTGTCTAATAGAAGAAAAAGTAGGCCCCAATCTCCATTATATCGGATTAGGACCCTACCTACAGCGCAAGAATTAAAATCAAGAATTAATAAATGGGATGGATTCAAACTAAAATGCTTCTTCTCAACAAAAGAAACAATCTGTGAGGTGAATAAAGAGCCTACAGCTTGGGAGCAAATTTTTACCACTTGCACATCAGAGCCCTAATCTCTAGAGTATATAAAGAACTCAAAAAGTCAAGCATTGAAAAACAAATAACCTAATCAATAAATGGGTCAAGAAACTGAACAAACACTTCTCAATCGGTGATATACAATCAATCAATAAATACGTGAAAAAAATGTTCAACATCTCTAGCAATTAGAGAAATGCAAATCAAAACCACTTTAAGATATCATCGCACTCCAGTCAGAATGGCAGCTATTATGAATACAAACAATAGTAAGTGTTGGCAAGGATGTGGGGAAAAAGGCACACTCATACATTGCTGGTGGGGCTGCAAAATGGTGCAGCCAATATGGAAAGCAGTATGGAGATTACTTTGAAAACTGGAATGGAACCACCTTTAGACTCAGCTATCCCTCTCCTCGGTCTATACCCAAAGGACTTAACAATAGCATACTACAGGGACACAGCCACATCAATATTTATTGCAGCACAATTCACAATAACTAAACTCTGGAACCAACCTAGATCCCTTTAGTAGATGAATGGATAAATAAAATGTGATGTGTGTATATATATATATATATATATATATATATATATATATATATACACACACACACACACACAATGGAATATTACTCAGCAATAAAAGAGAATAAAATCATGGTATTTGCAGGAAAATGGATGGAGTTAGAGAATATAATGCTAAGTGAAGTTAACCATTGCCAAAAAAAAAAAAACAAATGCTAAATGTTTTCTCTGATATAAGAAGGCTGATTCATTGTGAGGTTGGAAGGGGCAGCATGGTAAGATTAGACGAACCCTAGATAGAGGAAAGGGAAAGAAGGGAACAAGGGGGTTAAAAAGACGGTGGAAATGAGATGGACATCATTACCCTAAGTACATGCATGAAGACATGACAAGAACCTTCCCATTCTCAGGCACCAAGGGCAACAACTGGCAAACAAGTTATGCAGTGTCCTTTTGTAGATGTGCCTGCAGGTACATATCCTCGTAAATTTAATGAAACCCAAATAAAGCAAGCTCTAAGAGGAGTACTGGAATCAGTTAAACACAATTTAGATGAGGTGAGCCCAGTTCCCACCAATAAGGATGTATCAGAAGCTGACTTGAGAACTGTCATGTGTGCCATGTGTGGTGATCCATTTAGTGTGGATCTTATTCTTTCACCATTCCTTGATTCTCATTCTTGCAGTGCTGCTCAAGCTGGAGAAAATAATTCCTTAATGCTTGATAAAATTATCGATGAAAAAAGGAGGAGAATACAGATCACAATATTGTCATATAACTCTTCAATTGGAGTAAGGAAGGATGAACTGGTTCATGGGTATATATTAGTTTACTCTGCTAAACGGAAAGCATCAATGGGAATGCTTCGAGCATTTCTATCAGAAGTTCAAGATACCATTCCTGTACAATTGGTGGCAGTTACTGACAGCCAAGCAGATTTTTTTGAAAATGAGGCTATCAAGGAGTTAGTGACTGAAGGAGAACACATTGCAACTGAGATCACTGCTAAATTTACAGCATTGTATTCTTTATCTCAGTATCATCGGCAAACTGAGGTCTTTACTCTGTTTTTTAGTGATGTTCTAGAGAAAAAAAATATGATAGAAAATTCTTACTTATCTGATAATACAAGGGAGTCAACACATCAAAGTGAAGATGTTTTTCTACCATCTCCCAGAGATTGTTTTCCTTATAACAACTACCCTGATTCAGATGATGATACAGAAGCACCACCTCCTTATAGTCCAATTGGGGAATGATGTATAGTTGCTTCCAACACCTAGTGACCATTCCAGATATAGGTTAGATTTGGAAGGAAATGAATACCCTGCTCATAGCACTCCAAACTGTCACGATCATGAACGCAACCATAAAGTGCCTCCACCTATTAAACCTAAACCAGTTGTACCTAAGACAAATGTGAAAAAATTGCATCCAAATCTCTTAAAAACAATTGAAGCTGGTATTGGTAAAAATCCAAGAAAACAGACCTCCCGGGTGCCTGTAGCACATCCTGAAGATATGGATTCTTCAGATAACTATGCAGAACCCACTGACACAATTTTTAAACAGAAGGGCTATTCTGATGAGATTTATGTTGTCCCAGATGATAGTCCGAATCAAATTATTAAAACTCGAAACTCATTTGTAAATAACACACAAGGAGATGAAGAAAATGGATTTTCTGATAGAACCTCAAAAGGTCATGGGGAACGGAGGCCTTCTAAATATAAATATAAATATAAAACCTTGTTTAGTAAAGCCAAGTCATATTATAGAAGAACACATTCAGATGCAAGTGATGATGAGGCTTTCACTACTTCACAAACAAAAAGAAAAGGAAGACATCCTGGAAGTGAAGAACATCCACTTCTTTCTCCTGTTGAAACTTGGAAAGGTGGTATTGATAATCCTGCAATCACTTCTGACCAGGAGGTCGATGAAAAGAAGATGAAGAAGAAAACCCACAAAGTAAAAGAAGATAAAAAGGAGGATGATCCATATGACCTTGAAGACCTTTGCACAGAAATGAGGGAAATACAAAGAATCAAATACAATTCTGAAATTTGGGACCTGTATTTTGAGATGATATTTTCAGAATGAGAAGTATACATGGTTACTTTATGAATGCAGAGACATGAGAAAACGGTTATGATGGCAAAAAACAAAGAACCTCACCCCCCCACACTGGTGCAAAGACCAAATTTGGGGGCCAACAGAGGTGAGGCAAAGAACCTCACCCCCCCCCCCCACTGGTGTAAAGGCCTATCCACAAGTATGGCTGTATGCTGGACCAGTAGTCAATGACGGGTAAGATCCAATTGTAATGGTACCAACCTAAGACAGGAGGGTGACGCCTTGAGGTCAGCTCATCCGATGACGGGTAAGAACCATATGTAGTATTGGACAATCTAAGACAGGCACGGTCCCTAAGCCACATGCTTGTTGTTTAATTAAACAGAAGGGGGGAGATGTTGAGAGCCACAGCCGAGTCGGAATGGCCCCTGGCATTTGGCCAGAAGTAGTGGTTGAGAGATGAAGCCAGCGAGCCATTAAGATGATGACTTTTGAGTTCTCGGGGAGTTCCCATTGAGTTCCAGTTGAGCTCTCCTGGGGATTCCTGAAGAGTTCACATTGGTGGTGGAGTTCCGGTGTAGGGAGTTCCAGTTGGTGTGTGGTCGCTGGAAGGACCGCATGGGTGGCGTTCGGGGGAGTTCGGAAATAAAGTTTGTTCCTGCTTGAGTGGCTTGTGATTTGTGCCCAGCCAGACTGCGGCAAGTGTGAATATACTTTGTATAGAACCAGAGATATGAAAAATTGTGTTCCATATGTGTAATATGAATTATAATACATTCTAGTGTCATATATATAACTAATTAGAATAAAATTTTTTTAAAAAAGTGACCAATGGCATTAGATTTTCAAACCTAATTAGCATAAACTTGGAACAAAAGCATTAGTACTTTTGTACTAATTAGCATAAGTTTGGACCAATAGCAGTGCCCCCATGTGCTATATAAGCCCCTACACTAGCACACTCCAAAAGAAAACCTGCTTATCAAATCCCTTCTTATACCATAGAAGTTCTATTCCTATTTCCATTCTTCAATAAATCCTACTCTTACACTCTCTCATCCTGGTCTGTGTATTTCATCCTTTGAATTCACAAGACATAAACCCAGGAAAAAAAACAGAGTGAACTGCTGGGGTGTGGTGCAACACCAAAGGACATGGCCCACCATTAAGAGCTACAACACTTCTCAACTGCAGAGGTCTGCAACCTTACACAAACCTCACCTACCAGCAGAAGCAGGTAACTGAGTTTCATCTCCAAACTATGGTTTCATTATTATATGTGGCCTTTAGAATGCTGAAGTACAATACTATACCTATTTGTTGGGTGTATTACCATGAAAAAATATTGAATTTTACCAAATATTTTTCTATACCTAATGCAATGTATGAAAAAAATCATGATGTGATCATATTATTTTGCCCTGATTTTGTTAATATGGTAGGTACATTTCTTCATTTGTGAATTTTCGACCATACATGCAATTCCAAGGATAAACCCATTTAATCATGGTGAATCATCAATGTGTTGCTGAATATGGTTTGCTAGTTAGTGTTGTGTTGAGGATTTCCGTATCTCCTCACAGAAGATGTCAAATGTCTGGGGTAATGAATGGGCTGGTTGGCTTGCATCTGAAGTTCTAAAATACATTCCACCTAGCTGGGTATATGGCTCAGTGGCAGAGCCTAGTATGTGTAAGGCTCCAGGTTCAATCTCCAGGACATTATTTAAAAAAAAAAAAAAAATCATTGATCTAAGGGACATGATAGAGCTCTGACCAAGGCCCTAGGATTGATCCCCAACTGCAGTGTAGGACAGAAGGGGGAGACACATAACATTACTATACATCATAAACATGTACAGCTACAACCTGTCAATATACAGATTTTTTAAAAGAGGTTCTTGACCTTTAGAAAGACTTTTTACCATTCAAAGTATTGTATTTATTCATTCACTTATTTATTTTAAAGCCCACTAGGTAATGTTCTACCAGTAAGCTATATTCCCCAACCCATCTTTTAAAAAATAAATATGGGGCCTGGAGGTTTAGCTCAATGGTACAATGTTTGCCTAGCATTATAAGTCCCTGAGTACGTGGCCCAGCACTGTAGTCGATCAATTTTAAAAGTTGTACATATAATATGTCATATTTTTTCTCTTCAACATGCTTTTTATACCTGAGACAAAAACTCTCATACTCTGGTTCTCAATAAAGCCTGGTATCTTCACAAGTGCAGAAGGGCAGGAATACAAGGTTAAAAGCTACTGTCTAGTTCTCTAGATAATTCATTGGGTAGTTTTAATGAAAATGTTAAGCTAAACTATAAAGAAAGGCTCTAAAAATAGAAAAGTTCCTGAAGAAAAAGTTTAATGAGAAAGTAATGTACTAAAATGAAGAATAGATCATCATCACTCATTGACAAGTATAGAACCAAAAATGATAAAGTTATAAACTAATACTCTCTTCTTCAGTGACTTATGAGCTGGTAGAAAATGAGACCTAAACTGACTCATATAATCCAAATACCAATAAAGCATATTTCTGGAGTGTCATTCAAACAGATAGACAGAAATACTTTTCTATTTTGGAGTCTGCTGCTGTTGTTATTTACCAAAGCAAAGATTCCCTTGAGCTGTAGAGCTAGCATTTACTATAGCCCATACAAGAGCCTAACAATTAAAAAAAAAAAAAATTAAATCATGAGAACTCAGAAGTTACCACAAAAAGAAAACCTATAAGCTGAAATTTTTCTTTCCTTCTAATGCATCAACTAAAATGGAAACAGTATTTTCAATGGATATGTGTATGCACACAAGTACATTGTCAACACAACTAAAGACTTAAATTGGTGCTGAGAGCCATAGCCAAGTAGGAATGACTCATGGCATTTTGGGTTGAAAGGTGACCCTGCTCACGGATTAGGGTGGCTCCAGGTTAAGGGTGGATCCTGCTGGGAATAGGGTGGCTCCAGGATTAGGGCGTATCCTGCTGCCTCAGGCGCTCCTGCTCCTTTGGAGTTCCCATTCTCTGGGGTTCTGAGAGAATTAGTAAGCAGAGCCCAGTGGAGGGGGTGTATTTTCCCAGAACGTGCATGTAGAGAGTCAGTGAGAGTTCGGGAATAGAGAGTTGCTGTTTGAATCTACAAGTTTTTCTGGTGGCTTGGTTATTTTGTGCCCAGCCAGACTGAGACATTTGTCAACCCATGCAGGGAACATCTGAAGCTTGGAGGTAAGTGAAATTGCTTGCCCCTGAGGGAAGACAAGAGAATGGGTGACCATTTCAAAAAACAATGTGTTCTTGTTTTGATTTATTTTGTTTTTGTTTCAAGCTGCTTATCCCTAGAACTTTCTCAGGCAAACTGGGAAAAATGGTTGGCTCAAGGTTTGAAGTTGTTCGGTCCTGAGGAAGAGAAAATTGATACAAGGATTTTTTATTCCGTTTTTGTTTCATTCAGTTTCAGTTTTGTTTTATCTTATTGGGTAGTGTTATCTTTATAGTAGATTAGAAATTAGTAAAAAACAAACCGAAAGAGTGTTAAGTAAATTGTTAGAGGTGCAGACCATGGAGAAAGACATTTTAGATCAAGCAAAAGAGAAGGTCTCTCGAGCTAGTCAGACAGAGGAAGAAAATTTAAAGGAAAAGGGGCTATTAGGAAAAAATCTACAACAGGAGGCTGCTACTAACTCCGTTCTATCACCAGAGGGCGTAATTCAACCAACAGCTCCACCTATGGAGACAGCTGAGTGGCCCTTAACCCCCATAGTCGATAGATGGAATCCTGAGGCAGGACCTCAAAGATTAGCATGCCCTGTACTTGAGCACACAGGAGGGCAGCAAATTCACCATGCTTTAGATTTCAAAACAGTGAAGCAATTAAAGGAGACTGTAAACATATGGTCCGTAAGCACCCTTCACTGTAAGCATGGTCGAATCCATTACCAACTTGGACATGATGCCAGCAGACTGGGCTAATATGTGTCAATCTGTGCTAAATGGAGGACAATATTTGTTATGGAAGGTTGCCAATGAGAAATTTTGCACGGAGACAGCTAGGCAAAATGCAGCAGCCGGTTACCCTCAAAGAAATCCAGATATGTTGTTAGGAAAAGGACCTTATGAGGGTCAACGGCAACAAATTGAAAATGATCCTGGCGTATAAGCACAAATTGCTGAAGATGCGGATAGAGCATGGAAAACTTTACAGGGGCATGGAGATTTACAAGGACAATTATCTAAGGTAATACAAGGAACTAATGAACCTTACGCTGAATGTGTATATAGGCTTATGTGTCAAATCTATGTTAACAAAGCAATCCAGCCACTTAGAAATCAAAATCCTGAACTACAAATATTTCACCATATGGATGATGTATTATTAGCACATAAAGATAAAAACACATTGCTGGAATGTTATGCCACACTTACAAATTTATTAAAAAATTATAATCTAGAGATAGCAATAGATAAAGTACAATTAAATTTTCCAATTAATTATTTAGGAGTTCTATTATCCTCAACCATGGTCCATCCACCAAAAATTCAAATACGAGTAGATCAACTCAAATCACTTAACGACTTTCAAAAGTTATTGGGAGACATAAATTGGATAAGGCCTTATCTAGGTATACCAACAGGAGAGTTGGGACCTTTATTTGATATCCTAAAAGGTCCATCATATCCAAATTCACCCCGCATGTTAACTCCTGAAGCAAGAAAGACATTAAAAATTATTGAAACATATATGGAAAATATGCATTTGGATAGAATTAATATACGTTTGCCTTTATTATTTATTGTATTACCAACAAAAAATATTCCTACAGGAGTATTTTGGCAAGAAGGTCCATTATTGTGGATACATTTATCTTATTTTCCTAACACTATTCTTACTAGGTATCCTGAGGCTGTAGGACAATTAATACTCAAAGGAATAAAAGCAGCAAAGGGAGTGTTTGGAATTTCTCCCAATAAAATTATTACTCCATATACTATGGATCAAATTGATGAGTTAGCTAATGAGTTAAATACTTGGGCAATAATCGTGTGTAAATCTAATGTTTCATTTGATAATCACTTGCC